TGGAGTTATTAGTTAGCGTGTCAGTAGCAGTTGGCATAGAAATTGACCCTGTTCAAGATCGTAATGCTGACTAAAAATGTAAAAAATGGACGAATGTGAATTGGGACGAATGTGAAATGGGGCGAATGTGAATTGGGACGAATCGACTCGTGGGACGAATGTGAATTGTGACGAATCGACTTGTGGGACGAATGTGTTGGGACAAAAGTGAATTGGGACGAATTGACTATGAATCAACGTGAACATCTCTCCCCAGTCTGAGTCCCACGGGCAGTGCACAAAAGAACTCACAGTGTATGGACAATGTGTCGCCGTCTTCAGCAGCAAAATCGCACGTCTTTGGGATGTGCGTTCTTTCTATTGTTACGCCGTCCAATTCGAAAACGTTGCTAGCGCCATTCACAGTACTACAGGCAAAAATAGTGGACACGAACAGGATCACGGCGACAACAACCATGGAGGCAGCCATCTTGAATGCACAATTACCCGTCATACAATGCGGAATGGAAAACTAATTCCAGCCTATGATTGGATGATTGTTTGCAACGTGGATGTCGTTGTTACGATTTTTATGCGCGACATACGCGATTGTTATTATGATACGTGGCATGGTCACAACACGTCGGATAACTTTATAATGTGAAAGCCAATTAATAATAAATGTCATTAGGATAGGATATTTTAATTTGGCACGTACGCAATCATATCATACCATGCGTTATACCATACGATAACAGTGAAAAATAATATTGCTTCAAGTTACCAAAGAACAGTACATGCATTATTCTCATCACGGTAAAACATATTTAGACCATCGTACACTTGCGCGGCGTCGTATACGTTCAGAAATATAACTCTCCTCGAATGTAGAAGCATTATGGCTAGAACATTGTGCCACTAAAATTTTCTTTCAATCGCGCCCTCTATTACTCTATGCGACAAACTGGTGACACGAATTTGAAGGCCGTGATAACAACATCCAACGATGCTCCCTGCATAAGGTAAGGTTCATGCCAGGTGAGACCACGTATATGTATGCAGTCAGTCCGGCGAGACTTTACCAAGTCACACACACACAAACAGACTAAAATGGCTGCCATAACATTGCATCAAGTTTCTTACTGCTAAAAAGTAAAACTTAATGTAAACAACAACCTGAATTAGGATTCTACATCCTCAAAAATCAGACAAAGGACTGTGAAACTCGAATAGTGGCGTTCGGTCTAGGTAACGATCATTACTACGTCAAGAAAACTGAAAAACGCAATCATTAACAAAAATAAAATTCCCTGTTACTAGCACAGTTGCCGACCGCACATACCCCATCTCCGTCTTTTTTGCTATCACGATGTTTTTGTTATCACCAATATATTGTAAATGCAAGAATTAATCGATGGTTTTTAATTTCTCTATTTTCGCCGAAATACGATATAGAAATAAACGGAAATATGTAAAATAACAATATAAGTCATTGTTTCTCAGCCAAATTTGTGAGCTTAAAACCCAGTGAAAATGCTCAAATCATCAAAATAGTGAAATTAAAAGCCAGTGAAAATTAATAGTTTTAAATTACTGCGAAACACGGTAAACAATAGTTCTATGACTAAGTACATAGGTGATCTGAAGGCCGTTCAAAGCATCGATATCATTTTGATATGCAGTCACCCAAAATGGAAAATACAGTAAGTTTCTTAGGAGATTTTACTAATATAATCTAAATAGCGAACCACTGCCTTCACTCACACGCGTTATTGTGACGTCAAAGAAGCGTTCCGGGAAACAAATTCCATGCAGTCATGGCGAAATCTCGCTTTCATGCCGAACTACATTTATGTTTTTAATGTTTACAGAGTATGGAACACAACGACAAAAAACAACAACAACAACAACAACAGTCGTCATTACTGGGCTGGACTGTACCAGTATATACTAGTACTTGTCAAGAGATGTAAAAGCAGCAAACGGATATAACAGTGCTCTCACTGTACTGGGTAAATGCTCGGCGTTTGATTTATGGAAATAAAATCGCCATAAAACAATGTTCTTGAGAACTGTAAGACCGTCTGCGTATACGAGAAGTTGGGTCCTTGTGTCTGTGATTGGAGAATATATAATCAAAATGTATGTCAACAGTTCACAGTGATATGTACGCTTCAGACAAAATGGATTGTTATTATTTCAGCGTAATGCCATCTTCTTCGTTACAGCATACCTCAGCCAACCAATCTAATTTGGTTGGTTGTCTGAGAGCACATGTACACTCTTAAAAGTGCCGATAAAATGCCCACAAACACGTTTCTCATTCTCGATTTGTGTCCCTTTAAAATGTATATTTATTAATTTTGTTTTTAAAAATAATAAATCATATTCGAGTATAAATTTTAGATATTTCTTGTGTTGTAGCCACGCTCCCTTCCTTTTCCCGACTCCCCCGAAGAAGTGCGCCACCAAACGCCAAAATATGAATGGAAGCCATACTCTACGCCATAGGGCCAAAATAAAAACTTATGTTGCCCTCAAGTCCAAAAATTCAAAATTTAGGTAGGTCGGTCGGATTTTTTTTTTTTTTTTAAATTCGTGAAATCTAAGAGTGTCGGAAATAGGCAAGGTATATGAACTTCATAGTATTTGGAACATGTCAGAGAAATACAGATCAACCCGAGGTTCAAAGTCTGGGGATCAAACAACGGTCCGGGATCCTTAATTTTTAGAGGAAACACTTTTTTACTGCTTAAAATGGTGAGTTTTTAATATTTGGGCCTATTAAAAAAAAAAAACGCGACCCGATATTTCATATTTTTCGGTCGGTCGCTGAGGGCAGCAAAACAATTTGTTTGGGCCTAGTTTAACGATACTGCGTCATTTAATAATATAGATATTTCGGCAAACAGTTTTTTTCGCAGGGTTTTAGTAAAAGTTGTCTTCACAAGGAATACATTTACAATGGTTAAATGGGATGGGCCCATCCTTACACCGACATATACAGTGTCAATTATAATGCAAATTCTTTCGCCGTACGACTGTCCTCAGGCTCATTTGCGAAAGATCTTAGAATTATTTGAGTTTCAAGATACGTTCTGTAAGCTTAGCACCTACACATTTTGAAGATACGGCATCAAAATACAAATATTTCTCTAGAGACCTGATCACCCGAGCGTTGGTCAAACCATGGAGGAAATGATCATGGGTTTCAAGGGACGTTTAAACAGACAAGATAGGAGGATCATGGACTAGAAGGTACTAACTTCCATGGGAGGATTAACTTGACCTAGAAACAATAAAGATTTAATAGTTGTAACTCCTTCTGTTTTTACCTCCATGGTCAAACATAAAATCACGCAGCACTTTTATGCCACCAACTGTCTACAAATTAAATTTCTGAATTGTTTGATAATAGGTGTTGAATGATGACTTTACACCTCTGCGGTCATATATGACCTTCATTTTGTCGTCTGTGTGCGTAATAATTCGTAGACTAAGAATCCGTACTGTTTTTCGTCCAAGTAATTGTAATGCAATGTCGTAGCTACGACACTCATG